AGAAGTTGCCAGTTAAGAAGTCAGTTTGGAAGCCATTTTAAACCAAAGTTGTGTAATCAGAACTGTTGGTCTTAAGTATGTGTTTGAGTAATGTATTAAATGGCATTAACATGGACAGTAAAACTCTTGCATTATTTTCTTCCCTGGGGGCATATAATGCAAAACTTCATTGACTGGAGCCAGTTTGGTAAATGGGGCAGAAAATGCCTGTAGAAGTGATGTAATATTATGAATAAAGTGGAGCATAAGATGGCATATAAATTCTTAATGGCATTGTTTCCTAGATTCTCCATGTGCAGCAAAATGGATATTGTTGCTGCCTTTAAGGGAATAGCCCGATTACAATTTAAGCACCAGTGTGTTCATTTCCTGGCACATGTATGAATGTAGGGCACAGATTAGAATTTATTTCATCAAGCTTTAATTTCATTTTCAGCCCCTTAAAACTTCCATATCTCTTAAATATGTTGCCAGCAACCTGTTATCTGGCATAATGAAAAGCAGTGTAACCACTCACCAAATAAAATCCCATATAAAACCTAAACCTCGGTTTCACTTTTCAAGCACTGGTTTCACTGTTTCTTCCACCCACCCTTTCTCTCTGCCAGAGCCTGTAACGAGCAGCAACTTGGGCCAAACCCTGCCAAGTGTGAGCAGGTGGGTTTAATGGGATGTAAGATGTAGCTTGCCTATAACCAGACTACCATTTGCTGGCAAGATCACAGATCACATGGATATTAGGGGGACAGAGAAAAAATTTTAAGCAAGATATTTACAAATAAGAATGAAAATAAACCATCACTGTTTAATATTACTACTTTATTTATTTGAATAATATTCATTATATATCATAGCACAATTAGAGAAAAACTTCTGGGAAGATTTCCTTTGAATTTTGGATTTCTAGCAGGGAGCAACAAATTCCTTTCTATTTTCACGAAGTCCAGAAAATCAGAAGCTGTTTGGACATTATAACCACTCCTTCATTCATTTTTCACTCATCCGTTTGTTCTTTCAAAAATCAAACCCATTAAATAGCTTTCAAAATAATTAGTTTTACTTATTTCTTGGACAAATTAGTAAATACAACTATGGGGTTTTTGAAAAAGCAAAATTATTTTATTATTGTTTTGATTTGATTATACAATATTTTTCTGACAGAAAGATCTTTTATATTGATAGCTAATACTATGTTTGGTTTAAATTATGCTCTTTGTATGTTACAACAAGGAAGAAATATGCTTAAGAAACTCAAGGGTGAATGTGAGAATCAAAACAGATGATGTGACATGGAAAGTATTTGAAAGTGGTGAAATATTTTACAGACTTACAAGCTTAATGTTATCTTTAGAGGTAAAATGATGTAAAGAAAAGAGTGGACAAGGAGTTAGAAGTCAGGTACAAACTATGGAACTAGCTAGTCGTGTGGACCTGTGCAGGCGACTTACCCTTTTAAAGGCTTAGTGTCCATTTATTCAGATAGTCCCTCTGATTAACTGTCTCATTCATCCACTGTTCAGGCTTATTGTGAGAATCAAATATACTCAAAAGCACTTTTTCGAACTATAAAACACAATAAATAATGCTGATATCTGTAAATTGTGTTTTTTGTTATAGTTGCTATTTAGGAGAACTACAAGTAAATTTCAAGAGTAGGAAAATTTCAGAAGACTATTTCAAACAAGAGCAAGAATTCAAGTACTTTAGAAACTTTCATTTATAAATGAGAGTAATGTCAATAAAAGACTCTACCATTAATACCGTTGATGCTAGAATGCAAATGCAATTCATGAATTTCTTAATTGACATATTATATAATAACCATATTTATTATTTTTGAGATTTTAAGATTTATATCCAACAGTCTTGAGCCTAGAACTAGGCCATTAGCAAGAATGTGTACATTAGTCAGTGCCCTGGTGAGAAACAGATGAGATACTTATAAGGGTTTAAGTGTAAAGGATTAATAAATACTATACTAACAATGACTAAGAGTTTTCATAGCTTCTGTAACTATTGTATTGTTAGATTCTTAATTTCTATCGACTGAATGGGTATAAAATGGTGGCTATCTCATTACATCTCAATTTGCATCTCCCCTATTATTAATGAGATGGAGCTTCTTTTCATAATTTTGTTTGACAAAGTGTTTTCTCTTATGTGAAACTCCTGTTCATATCTTTTGCCCAGTTTTCTATATGATAATTGTATTAATGAGTTGTAAGCTGTTGCTTTTGTTTTAATATTCAAGATATTAATCTTTTGTTGGCTACATATTTTGCAAATATCTTCCCAGAGCTTCTGACTTGTTTATTAATTGTCTTTTGAGGCACACTAGTTGTTAAATCAATCTTATTAATTAATCTTTTCATTGGCAGTTAATACTTTTTATGAAATACTTAAAGTCTTCTTTGCCCTAGTTTCAGAGGGATATAGCCTATACTTTCTTCAAAATATTTTAGTTTAATATTTCACATAGAAATCTTTGGCCGGGCGCGGTGGCTCACGCCTGTAATCCTAGTACTCTGGGAGGCCGAGGCGGGCAGATTGTTTGAGCTCAGGAGTTCGAAACCAGCCTGAGCAAGAGCGAGACCCCGTCACTACTAAAAATAGAAAGAAATTAATCGGACAACTAAAAATATATAGAAAAAATTAGCTGGGCATGGTGGCGCATGCCTGTAGTCCCACTTACTCGGGAGGCTGAGGCAGGAGGATCGCATGAGCCCGGGAGTTTGAGGTTGCTGTGAGCTAGGCTGATGCCACGGCACTCATTCTAGCCTGGGCGAAAGAGTGAGACTCTCTCTCAAAAAAAAAAAAAAAAAGAGAAAGAAATCTTTAAATCACTAGTAATTGGTTTTAGTATGGTGACAGTAAGGGGCCAGTTAAATTTTTTAATATAGATTGACATTTTTTTCTAGCTGCAGTTATTAAATAGTCTTTCATTTGTCCAGCCATGGCACCTCTGTCTTTATCAGTTCCTTCTATGCCTGAAAATGTCATATTGGTCAGTCTGTCTATCCATGTGTGCCTATCCATATTAATTACCATGGCTTTATCATAATTCTTAATATCTAGTAGGATAAACCGTCTTTCTCATCCAAGTACTAACCAGGCCCGACCCTGCTTAGCTTCTGAGATCAGATGAGATCAGGCGTGTTTAGGGTGGTATGGCTGTAGACACAGGATAAACCATCCCTTATTTTTCTCCTTTGTGAGTATCTTAGCTAATCTTGTCTCTTTTCTCTTCTATGCAAATATTAAAATCTGATTTTAAAACTCTATGTAAAAACTCTGTTTGAATTTTAATTGAAATAGCATTAAAACTATAGATTAATCTGGGGACATTTGATATTTTTATAACATTGGCTGTATCTACATATAAAATATCACTCTATTAATTTAAGTGTTAGTTAAATTTTTTGGATAAAGTTTTAAAATATTCATTTGTCCTGCACATCTTTTGTTAGATTTCCCCTAGTGTACTATAGTTTTATTGCTATTACAAATAACATTTAAAAATTATATTTTCTCTTTGTTGATGCTCTATAAAAATGCATTGATTATTGTATAGGAATCTAATATTCTGCCAACTTGCTATATATCCTCATATTATACTCAGATACGCACATTAGATTTTTTGATATTCTTTTTCTCTTTCCAATCTTGTCTTCAATTTATTATTCTTTTCTTAGCATACCAGTTATTATGGTTGAGGCTTGCCTTATGGCCAAATATACATATGATCAATTTTTGCAAATATTATAAATGTGCATTAGAAGAATTCATATTTGGCATACAGTTTGGCATGTAGAATGCTATTAGATCAACATTGTTAAAACTGTTCCATATCTATATTAATTTTTTTTCTGCTTGACCTATCAATAAGGTACATTAAAATTCATGGCATGTAGATAGATATATCGATTATATTTCTATTTATTTTTTTCTTTATATATTTTAAGGTTATTTTATTAACTTCATGCAAATGATATCTTCTATGTGAAATGAGCTTTTATTATTATGTGATGACCCATTATATACCTAATGTAGCTTTTTAAAAAAAGCCTGATATCCATATACTTTTAAAAAATATTTTAATCATTTTTAAGTGTATAATTCAGTTGCATTAGTATATTCACAATGCTGGGCTACCACCACCACTGTCTTAGAAAGTTCAGGCTACTATAATAAGATACCTCAGAATAGATGGCTTAAACAACAGAAATTTATTTCTCACAATTCTGAAGACTGGAAAGGCCAAGATTTGTTGTCTAGTGAGAACCCTCTTCCTGGTTTGCAGATGGCGGTCTTTTTATTGTGCCTTCACTTGGTGGAGAAAGACCGAGAACTATAGTCTCTTTCTCTTTTTATAAAGACACGAAAAAATGAACAGACATAGATCAGATGTGGGTCTGAAGGAAGGGTGCCAGAGCCTTCAGGAGGCTCCACAGGAGGAAGTTGTGGTGCAAAACAAGAAGGAGCAGGGTACTGGGGAAGGTCAACTCCTAAGAGGATTGGAGTCCAGCTAGAATGGTAAGTGGAGCAGTTTGCTTCTCCCTCCCCCATATCTCTGACAGTTGGTGGGATCCCAAACTGCTGGAGAGATTTTCTCCCCATGCAAGCCCAGAGGCTGCTGCCACCAGTAAGGTAGGAACTGCATGTGGACAGGGCACTGGGCTCCCACCTCCCCCAGGGCACTTCCTCCCACAGACCTGAGCTGGTTTGGCAGGCACCATGTTGCTTCTCTACCCACTGTGTGCCTTTGTCCTCCCCTAGGGAGGATGAAACTCCTTAGGTTTTATCCTGCTCATTCCCACACAGACATTTCCCGACTCCAGTCCATATTGCAGGAGCCACAGGAGTCCAGCAGGGCCAGGTGATCTGTGTGGCTCCAGGGTGTGGACATTCTGGGTGAACTGCCTCCCAGAGAGAGGGTTGGAGATGACCAGAGTGCTAGCATTCCTCTATCCAAACTCGTTATCTTCCCTTTCCCTCCCCACCCATGGTTGCCAAGGGAGGCAATTGAGCCATAAGACTGAGGCTTCCACAGAGTGTGGGACTCAGTTTCCTCTTGGGATCCTGCATCAAACTGAGGGGTGCCCAGACTGTGAGCTCCCTGCTCGCTAGCCCTCCCTGGTGCTGCTTGCCTGGCAGCTCCATCAGAGAAGGGCTCTCCTGGAGGTGGAGGGACATGGATCTTGCTAGGGCACACCATGGGCAACTCAGGACAAATGCTCTTCTCCCTGACATGGTCAAAGATTGACCTTCTTGGTCTTGAGAGCCCTCATAGACACATGAGGGGACAGAGTGCAATGTGAGTCCTAGCTGTGATGTGCTCATGGGGCAAACTTTCCCCTATGGGAGAGCCACACTATCAGCTGAGTCAGGCTGGGATCCTGGGTGAGGAACTGTTAGCCCCGTAGCACAGTCATGGGGAGCTTGGCTGACTTGAGCTCCTGCCTGCTGGCAGATGCCGTGAACAGACTGTGGAACAGAGGTAGTGGGGAGAGGAGTGAGGCCCACTGCAGACTACCACTTTGTGCAACTCAGACCAACCTGCCTACACAAGCAGACCCTCTGGTTGGGTGGTGCCACTTCACCCACTCCCTGGAGGCTCTGCTCAGAAGCTGGGGGCAGAACTTTGACCCCTGCCAACATACCTACCTTGCCAGCTTCTATGGAGCCTGAGGGCAAGCTCACCCAACCTAGTCCTGCCCAGCCTCACTCCCCCACCTGCCTCTGCTTTGGTGGAAAATAAGGATTCATTTCGAAGTTTCAGGGCCCCACCTAACACCTAGGCTATTCAAGTGCTTCTCCTGAGGGAGTAGAGCTGGTCACAGGACCCAAAAACAACATTGCAGCTTATTACTTCTGGCAAGTGCCACCTACTGTCAGGGAGGTCAATTTGCACACCCTTTACAGCATTTACTGACTCAGTTTTACAGTGGGAGTCCAAGGAATGGCCATGTGGAGGAGCACCTACCCCTCTTCACAGAAAAACTGTGCTACTCAGTAAGGGCAGAAAGATCCCAGCCTGTGGCCATATGCTACCAGCATTTAGGCCCCTCTCCTGTGAACTGCTCTCCCAGTTTGGAGAGTTTGTCCTGATCCTCCTACCAGCTGTAAGGTGAAAGCACCAGGTAACTTACAAAGGAAAATCCATCAGACTAATTGCAGAATTCTCAACTGTGACTTTAGAAGGCAGAAGAGATTGGGGCCCCATTCTCAATTTTCTTGAATAGAATAATGCCCGGTCAAGAATCCTGTATCCTGCAAAACTAAGTTTCTTATATCTGGGAGAAGTAAAGACTTTCACACAAGCAAACACTGAGGGAATTTGTCAAGGCCAGACCTGCCCTGCAGGAAGTACTCAGAACTACATTACACAGGGATCAGTACAATAGATACCCAGCAGTGTAAAATCACCCTAAATCTAAATGTCAGAGCCCAGATACCACCATGACTCCAGAAGTAAAACAAAGCAATAAAGTTCTACTCAAGAGGATGAACAGAAAACCAACCCACTTATCAATTCTTCCAATAAATGTGAATGGCTTGAACTCACCACTCAAGAGACATAGGCTGGCTGAATGGATTAAAAAATACAAACCAAGTATCTGCTGTCTCCTGGAAACATATCTAACTCGCAAAGACTCATTCAGACTGAAGGTGAAGGGATGGAAAACAATATTTCATGCAAATGGAAAACAAAAGAAAGCTGATGTAGCTGTTCTCACATCGGATAACATAGATTTCAAGTCAGCAAAAGTAAAAAAATACAAAGATGGCCATTATGTAATGGTGAAGGGAACAATTCAATAAGAAGACATAATAATCCTAAATATTTATGCACCTAATACAGGTGCACACACATTCATAAAGCAAATCCTACTTGATCTAAGCAAAATGATAAACAGCAGCATCATAATAACCAGGGACTTCAATACCCCACTGACAGAATGGGACAGATTCTCCAAACAGAAAATAAGCAAGAAATGATGGATTTAATTGGAACTCTAGACCAAAAGAGCCTAACAGACATTTACAGAACATTTTACCCCCAAACCACTGAATATACATTCTTCTCCTCAGCTCATGGAACATTCTCTAAGATTGATCATGTCCTAGGCCACAAAACATGCCTAATAAATTTTTTAAAAATTGAAATTATACCATTTATCTTCTCAGACCACATGGGAATAAAATTAGAAATCAGTTCCACCAGAAACACTCAACTCTACACAAAGTCATGGAAATTGAACAACCTACTGCTGAGTAGGTATTAGGTAAAGGAGGAAATTAAGATGGAAATTAAAAGATTCTTTGAACTGAATGACAAAGGGAACGCAAGTTATCAAAATCTGTGGAATTCAGCAAAAGTGGTTGTAAGAGGAAAATTCACAGCCATAAATGTCTACATCCAAAAGACAGAAAGATCACAAATCAACATTCTAATGAATCATCTCAAGGAATGGAAAAGAAAGAGTAAACCAATGTCAAACTCAGCAGAAGAAAAGAAATAAATAAGGTCAGAGCAGAACTAAATGAAATTATTACCAAAAAACTATACAGAAGATTAATGAAAGAAAAAATTCATTCTTTGAAAAGATAAACAAAATCAACAGGCCTCTCTCTAGATTAACTAGAAACAGAAAAGAAACGACCCTAATAAGCTCAATCAGAAACAACAAAAGGAGATATTATAACTGAAACCATGGAAATACAAAATATTATCTCTGAAAACTATAAAAATCTCTATGCACATAAACTTGAAAATGTTGAGGAAATGGACAAATTCTTGGAAATATACAACCCTCCCTGGGCTCAATAAGGAAGAACTCCTGAACAGGCCAATATCAAGTAAGGAAATTGAAGCAGCTACAAAAAATCTCCTAACAAAAAAAAGTCCTGGAACAGATGGTTTCACAGCCAAATTTTACCAGACCTACAAAGAACTGGTACCTATACTGCAGAAATTATTTCATAACATAGAGAAGGAAGGAATCCTCCCAACTCATTCTATGAAGCCAATATTACTCTGATACCAAAGCAAGCAATGGATACAACACAAGAAGAAAACTACAGACAAATATCCCTTATGAATATGTATGCAAAAATTCTCAATAAAAGCCTAGCAAACTGAGTTCAGCTGCACATCAAAAAAAAAAAAAAATCCATCACAATCAAGTGGGCTTCAACCCAGAGATATGAGGATGGTTCAACATACACAGATCTATAAATGTGATTCACCACATAAATAGAAGCAAAACCAAAGAGCATATGATCCTCTCAATAGATGCAGAAAAAGCATTTGACAAACTTCAGCACCCTTCTATGATAAGATCTCTTAAGAAAATAGGCATGGATGGAACATACCTCAATATTATAAAAGCCATAGTCAACAAAAGCACAGCCAACATCATATTGAATAGGGAAATACTGAAAGCATTCCCACTTAGAACTATAACCAGAGAAGGTAGACCACTGTGACCACTTCTGTTCAACATAGTTCTGGAAGTCCTAGCCAGAGCAATCAGGCAAGAGAAGGAAATAAAGGGTACCCAAATAGGGAAAGCAAAGTTTAAACTATTGCTCTTTACTGATGATATGATCTTATATCTAGAAAACCCCAAAGATTGTGCGAAGAGACTCTGCAAACTCTCAGACTACATTATCAATGTACACGAATCAGTAGCATTCTTATATGACAAAAACAGTCGAGCTGAGAATCACATCAAAGATGCAATACCTTTCACAATAACAACAACAACAACAAAATACCTAGGAATATATTTAACCATGGAGATGAAAGACATCTATAGGGAGAACTATGAAACACTGAGGAAGAAAATCATAGAGTAGGGAAACAAATGGAAAAACATATGCTCCTGGATCAGCAGAATAAACATTGTTAATATATCTGTACTACCCAAAGTGATTTACAGATTCAATGCAATCCCAATGAAAACACCAAGTTCATTTATTTTCAGATCTAGAAAAAAATAACTCTATGCTTCATATAGAATTAGAAAAGACAATGAATAGCCAATGCAACCTCATGTAATAAGAACAAATGGGGAGGCATCATTCTATTAGACTTCAAGATATACTACAAGGCTACAGTAACCAAAACAGCATGGTATTGGTAGAAGAACAGAGACCCAGACCAAGGGATCAGAATAGAGAACACACATATAAAACCTCATCATATTGCCATTTGATATTTGAACAAAGCAGACAAAAACATACATTAGGGAATAGAATCCCTATTCAATAAATGTTGCTGTGAAAATTGGATAGCCACATGCAGAAGACTGAAACAGGATCCACACCTCTCACCACTCTCAAAAATTAATTCACATTGGATAACAGACTTAAACCTAAGGCATGAAGCCATAAGAATTCTAGAAGAAGAGGTCAGAAAAACTCTTATAGAAATCAATCTAAGCAAAGAATTTATGAAGAAGACCCCAAAAGCAATCACAGCAACAACAAAAATAAATAAATGGGACCTGATCAAATTAAAAAGCTTCTGCACAGCAAAGGAGACTATCACGAGAGCAAACAGACAACCTACAGAATGGGAGAAAATATTCACATGTTATGCATCCAATAAAGGGCTAATAAATAGAATCTATATAGAACTCAGGAAAATCAGCAAGAAAAAAATCAAACAACCCTATTGAAAAGTGGGCAAAAGACACAAACAGAAGCTTTTCAAAAGAACATAGACTAATGGCCAATAAACATATGAAAAAATGCTCAACAACTCTAATCATCAGAGAAATGCAAATCAAAACCAAAAAGAGATATCACTTATCTCCAATGAGAATGGCCTTTACTAAAAAGTCCCAAAACAATAAATGTTGGTGTGGATGCAGAGAGATAGGAACACTCATACACTGCTGGTGGGACTGCAAACTAGTACAACCTCTGTTGGAAGCAATATGGAGATACCTCAAAGAAATACAAGTAGAACTACCGTTTGATCCAGCAATTCCATTACTGGGCATCTACCCAAAAGAACAAAAGATATTCTACAAAAAAGACATCTGCACTAGAACGTTTATAGCAGCACAATTCACAATAGCAAAGTTGTGGAAACAACCCAAGTGCCCATCATTACATGAGTGGATTAATAAAATGTGGTACATGTATACCATGGAGTTCTAGTCAGCCACAAAAAACAATGGTGATCTAGCACCTCTTCTATTA